CAGTGTGCTGTGTGACATATGGAAAGAATTCTTAAAACAAAACAAAACAAAAACCGAAAGCTAGACCGATCATCTCGACCGTGATGTGCTTTCAGAATTGCTAACTCTTGACTCAAATCATACAGCAAAAAAGCACACAGTCATCCCTGAGAGGTTTGTGTAGCATATGTTTACAAATGATGGGGGGAACACCTTGCGAAAATAGATGAGTACTGCAAAGTTTGGAAAAAGACTTATCTCTTCCAGTTTCTAATGTACCTCTGTCTTCAGACTCTTTCAGTGTATGGTATTACATTAATACACTGATAACATTGATCACGCCAGTCTTTTTTTGGTGTCCTTGGTACAGGATGTTAGTCTTTAACTCTCAGGTCGTCCTTTAATTATTACCTGTCACAGAAAAGTCTGTGAAAGTGAATCATGTGAATGTAGCAGCCCTTATGGCTAGCCTGAAAGGAACTGGGAACGATGCGGCTCGAGCTGTGTTGTGTTATTGGACTCTCTGCTACAGACAATCTGAAAGCATGATGTGCCTAGTGCGGTACAGTCAGCATGCTTGAAAATTGTGTTTTTCCTGCTGGGAGCAAGGCAGTATAAATACATCTTCATAAATGCTCCACTGACAAATATCGCATTTCTCCTTTTAAATTGTGCCGATTATTACAGTTCTTGGTACTTAAAGGAGCAGACCTATCATGTCTATCTGTAAAAACAGCAACACCAGTACAGGGTAAACTGTTGAATATATGCCAACATTTTGATATGAATTTGCTTTGGCTACATCTGCCCTTTTAAAGCCTCACTGTAAGTATCTGAATGACACATTCTTAACTGAATGCTTTCAAATGCAAATTACAATTTTCAGTCTCAGTTATGTTCACCAGGAAGGATTTTTTGTGTGGAATTGATTGATGCATTACTTAGCAGAGGAGCTGCATTTCCAAAGCCTTCACCAGAGCCATGGCAAAGTAGTAGTTAAACAAGTTGTTCACATATTCATGCACTCGTATGTATTTGCTGTGAAAGTAGCAAGAAGAAATTCAATTTAAACTCTAAATGCTGGTGAAAACATAGTAGCCTAACTTTCCTGGGATTACATATTGAGGAAAGGCTGCCAGAGGCAGAAAGGAAAAAGTCTAGTCTTCTAGCATCCTTCTTACGCTCTATCTTAGATAACCATAACACCTTTTCCCCAAAATAATGGGAACAGCACCTTGCAGTATTGTTGTCTAAATGAAAACGGAAGCATTACAGTGAACTGTGATCAATTTGGTGATATGGGGAAATAGATTTGTCTCAAAAGTAATGTCAGTGCAAGTACTTGATAAATTTGAGGAAGTATAATCGCCTTATAAATGACTGAGACTCCTTTATATGCAAAATCACCCTGTATAATGGAAATTTAATTGCATACTACTTTTGTAAGTTTTAATATATCTCTTTAAAATGTAGATGTTTTACAGGTTACTAAAGATGATGCAACTTATGTGCTTATCTCCTCACCGTGTCAAATACTGTCCTGAGCGCCCTTCTGTAAATTAGGTTATTTAGCAAATTAAAAATGAAGTGCTGAGGTGCCTGGTTGTAGGCTTCCAATTTGGCACTTTGTGGTAGCATTTATAAGGGAAATGCAGCCCGTATGTGATGTTGCAAGGTGTCAGTTTTTGCCACAGAAGCTCAGTGGTATGATTCAGCACAACACCTTGGGCTTTTTTTAATGCTTGAAGCTTTGCTCATTTTGGATCACTGTTTCTTTCAACTTTTTAGGAAGTGGAATTAGATAAGAGGAAAAAATAATTCTTTAAATTTAACTTACTGATATTTGAACACAAATGACGGTTGCGTTGGGACAGGGGAAGAAGGGGGGAATGTCCATGTAACTATTTCAAATAGTCCTTCCTGTCTTGCCCCCACAGCAGTGCACATGCCAGAAATAACCCTTTTATCTGTTTTGAAAAAGCTAGCTTCATACAGTATATTTTAGCAGGGAAAGATACCAGGTGGTGTTGAAATATTTCAGAAATGTGATGCACAAGCTCCTCTTCTCATCTGAAACAGACTCACTCCTCTGTATGGGAGAAGAAGACACAAACATGTAGTAGACCAGGACTATAAAAGGTCAAAGCTTTAAGAAGAAGTTATCTTACTAATACTATACTCTTCCAAATCTACTCTTTGCCAAAAGTTACTTCTTCCCCTTTCAGTGACGTAATACAGAAAACTGGATGGTAAAACTAGAAATTTAGTTAGAGCAAATCCTGTTACCTTAAGAGTTAAACCTTGACTCTTTTCTTCTTTGCAGCGTGCAGCCAGGATGTATTTTAAAGGCAGATGTATTTGCAAAGTTCTTGGAGGCTGGGATTTTGGATGGCAACTCTCAGCTCATGACAATGTATAGGCCTCTGGCTTCCAGCTACTTCCCACAGTAGTGAGGTACCAAAGGTAGTACTTTCCCTGCTCCCTGGATTCTCCCTGAACAGATGTTCAGACACAATATTTTGAACTGCATTTGCTGCCTCTCTCACAGGAGCTGTATGGACAGCTACAGATAGTTCTGTGACAACTGAAAAAAGGCAGTTCATAGCATGGTATAGCCGGGTCACGTGCTTTTGTGCTTTCTACCTGCCATTTGCTAACAGCCACAGATTCTTGAGCACTTGCTTTGAGGAGGCCTTGTGAGAAAGTCAGCAAGAGATTCCTCAGCCTAAGATTAGAAAGAAGCTCTTGTCATATACAGTAAAAAAAAAATCTGTTTCCAGTCATACCTTGGTTATTAAAGCAATTCTAAAATGCAGTGGGACACAGGGCTTAGTGTCTGAACCCTAAATACAGAGCAATTGTTTGATGCGTATTTTCTTTTCAGATAACATGGACTAGTATTTACATTAGGCTAGGGTGTTCAAAAACTTGGAGCAGAGTTTACAGTTTATTGTCAAAGTGTAAAATTACCAGTAGACACAGAGGAGAATCTCTCTGTCGGCGCACGGGGCATTGTACTCAGCAAATAATGTACTGCTTCCTGTCAGTCTGAACACTTGCCATTTTTCATTTCTCCCCAGCTGTGAGCAGCGTTGGATGGTGTCCAAGGTAGAGCATTGTCCATTAGTCACAGGTGGAGACTGCTGTAAAGTCAGTGCACGTGAAGTAGAGATGTGTGGCAGGAGTATTTCACTAGGAATATATAGTATGCACAGCTGAACGCTGTTTTTGACAGAGAAATATATTTGTCTCTGTTGTTCCAGTATATACCCTAAGTTTATGGACTGTGATTAGGGCGAGAGGTAGTCAAGCTCTCCTAGTGATAACTGAGTGCTTTTTACACCGCCTCTGTAGAAGCATGGCAATTAGTTCTTTCATGCAAACTGGCGTCCCCATGCAGTGTAACTTAACTATTAGCTGATTTGACTTGAGGGGGGGGAGGGGGTGGTTCCCTGTGATCCTTTGAATCCTTCACTGACTGACCCAAACTAATGGGGAAGAGATGATCACGTTTACTTTTTGGTCTTTCTCAGGCAAGTACCTGAAACAGACATGACAACCAAAAAGTCCTCACTGGTCCATTGTGACCTCTTATTCTGCTTTAACCTCTTAATCGGCCTCAACAAGTCCTCAGTGGCCACAGATCATGTACTAGTTGCTCACTCCCTTTTCAAATCCATCCTGAAACACTGGGAAGGAATGCAATAGCCTTGACATACAGAGGTACAGAAATTAATTCCATCTGTATATATAAAATACCTTCACTGTGAAACAAAAGTTTTGGCTATGGAAGGCATTTAAAACTTTGCTACTGTGAACTCTTGCCTGTCTCTGATAAAGAAACTGTTTCAATATTTGTACTTGATCAGGTAATAACGTAGTACATCTTGTTCTGCCTTAGTATCTGTTATGCTATCACAGATAATTAGAAGGAATGTAAGCAGAAAACAAAAAAATCCATGTATTAGATGTGGAGGAGAGCCTACTGCTGTTCTATAGTTGGTAATTTAGTTGTTTGTGGAGAATTGGTTATTTGTACATCATACTTAAACTGGGTTCTGGAAAAGTATCACAAAACATTTTAAAGGGTCGAAAAGGGAACTCTGAATGTTTTACAACTTTCCTATCAGGCCATTTGGAACCACTTGCCTGCTTTACAAATGGTACTAATTTATCAAGCAAGTATAAAGCAATAATCTGAAAGACTGGAAGAGCAGTGCAATTTTTCTTACAGCTATTGGAAATTATAAGGTAAAACTTGCAGTTTCTCTCCGATTAACCCATTATAGTGGCTTGTTCTTTAGGGTATTACAATCTGCATTTAGGAAGCGAGTTTGAGGGTTTTTTTTGTAGGCCTTACCAGTGTAGCAGCTTTTTGTGAAGCTGGGTGTTAAGTTAGGTGTTAGGTTGCTACATGGAGACTGACAACCCCTGTGTTTGGTTTATGGGATGAATTAACTGGAGAGGGAGGCTTTCAAGGATTTGTGTGTGTGCTATGTAATCTGCGGATGGGCAGATTAAAACAAAAGAGAAGGCAAGAGAGTGCAAACACTAGACCTCAAATTCACATCTCATGTCTGTGAAATAAAGTCATGTCAGACACATTTGACAGGTAAATGATGCCTATACTGTCAAACTGTGATGCTTGCACATTTGGGAACCTGCAGAAAACAGCTAGGAATTAGATTAAACCAGAGAAAAACATCTGCTATTTCACACTATTTGAGAGGAGTTCCAGTGAGTACTTGGGGTTCAAATAATCACGTTTGCATGAGGTAAAAACCTGGCAAAACAGAGAGAAATAATGTTCAAAGTTGTCAGCGTGACACTTGCCTGACTACAACATTCATTCCAGTTGTTATAACATACAGGCCTGGATTTCTGTATTGGGCTAGGAGTGAAAAAGAAGTTCTGGGGCCTGATAGGTTTTTCTTTGTGTTTGATTTGGTTTTCTTAGCATAAAAAGTTATTTTGATTTAAGGACTATAATATGCAATGTGCTAATGATATATCTGTTTCAGTTTGCAGCTCATCTAGTGAAAAACAAATACCCACGGGTGTGCATCCTAGATGGAGGAATAAACAAGATCAAGCCAACTGGACTCCTCACTGTTCCTTCTCCACAAATATAAGTGACTATAAACGTTCGGGACAGTACGTCTAAATAGGGAAGTAGAGCATGAATATCATGAACCCAAAGGGCATTATGACATTTCCATTTTACAAGCTACCCAGATGATCAGTGTCTTTCCCTGCAGATCTAGAGCGAAGGAGTTCTGTTTTTATTCTTTGACAGAGAACTGCAGTTGGAACAGATGAAAGATGTGAAGCTTCAAATCTTCTAAGAAACTTCTTTCAGCAGTTAAGAAGTGTGCAACTGGTTGAGCAAATTTGAACACACACAAAGTCAGTATAACTCATCTGGCATTTGGTACCTTAGAAATGTTTCTGCAGAACAAAAGAAGCTGGCAATTGATGGCTCTAAGCTGCACTTATATAAATTATTTTTTCAAAATATTTTACTGTGAATATTGAGAGTAACAAGCTGAAATTGTATCCCATATTTCAACAAAGGAAAAAGTGTGTTCTCTAGTATTTTAAAGAATAATTGTTGTATGTTGTGACCCACTTTGTTTTTGAGAAAGCATTTTTCGGTCTGGATTGGAAATAAAGGTGTGTCCCAGATCGGAAATCACTGTGAGATATGCTGATGAGTCAATGCAAACAGTATCATCTGCTGGAGAAGAGAAGGCCTGCTCCTGTGTGGAGAATTTAACATCATGTTTCCTGAAACACAGCAAGCCAATAATTTCTGAAATGATTACTTATACCAGAAACTTAGACTTTCACAAAGCTGTGGCTTATAACAAAAAATCAGTTATTCCGCAAATAGTGCTTGTCCATATTAGAAGCTCACACTTTAAAAAGAAACAATGCAGTTTAATTTTCCTATCAGTCTAGAGTAATCACTTTTGTAGCAGTATACTTTCTAATAAGAGGCAGAACATTCGATTTGGTTCACTTCAGTGTTCTTTGTGCCAGTGGTGTCACTTTTTGAATGCCCGTTTCTTAAACCTGAGAGATCAAGACAGCAATCCTATTTCTAAACCGACTAGCTGCAAGTATTGTAGTTGAGTGAAAGCAGGTTCCACAAAGGGCCTAAGGTGACTGTCCACTAGAAGATGTGGAAATTACTTTGCAACCAGAAATTAAGAGCATTGAAATCACAGAAGAGACAAGAATTGGGGCGTCTCTGTTGCCAAGGAGCTAAGAATACACTTGATTCAGACAAATACCGCCTTTCAGATGTAGAAAAAGACCTAATTTCTTCCCCTCAGAATTCTAGGAAACATGCATTCTTGCAAACATGTCAAATTCATTATTCTAAAAATAGTTTTTAAAAAATGACTAGGAAGAGAAAAGGATCTTCATCTTTATGAATGTTATGTGAAAATAGTACCTTTAATCCAAAAAGACCAGTTGTGAAAATGTGAGACTGACAAAATTCTCTGGAATTAAATGTTCTGACAGGGGCATTTGGAAGAATTTACTTTAGTCAGAGGGGAAGAAGAAACTGGGAGATTTCTCTTTCTAGATTTTTAAAGTTACGAAAACACTGGTTTGGCATGAGGCTTAATAATCACTTAATGGCTTAAAATAATTAAGTGTGGGGTATTAACAGTATTTTGTAGAAACAAAATAGCACCAGTGATGATCTGAACACCTGGCCGCAGTTGCATACTGATTTGCTGTGTGAGTTTGGCACTGTGCTTTTTATTAGAGCCTGTGAAATGGCCAGAAGTTTTTATTCTGAATCTTGAAAATCTAGTCTCTAGCACAATGTGCTATCTGCAGGGAGATTAAGTGTTTTTGATGACCCTATTGAAAAAGTGTGACAGAGAAAGAAAAGAATATGGAGGAAGGAGGGTACCCTTTAGCTCCCTTTAGATCACAGATGAGATATCTAAAGTGTGAAATTACAGTATTCTATAAATGTGATAATGTATATGGGCTTTCTTTGGTCCAAGGTAAATATAGTTTACTGAAGGTTTCAAGAAGTCTTCGAGTCTTTAAGAATAAGGTATCTGTCAGATTGACTGCGTAAATGGTAGGAAGCGAAAGGTAGGGACAAATCATCAAGTTTCTCAGTTAGTGGGATTCTGCAACAATGTGTGTTGAAGGCCGATGCTACTCAGCTGACTCCAAAAGTGACCTGCTGAGGGAGAGGAGCAGTGAGGTAACAAGCTTGCTGATAATACAAAATCATCCACCATGATCCAGCTTTTGCCTGGCTGTGCAGAAAATGAGAAGGATCTTGTGGTCGTTGGAGGCAATGATTCGTTACGAGTGAACACACGTGGGGCCCTGGAGAACAACATTTTTAGTGCTCAACAGTGAATTCATTGATAGATAAAACATCATCTCAGCTTTTTAACAGCAGCCGGAAGGACACACAGGTTATTAGTCGTTGTAATGAAACAAATGAACAAAACAAGTCATTATGCCATCATAGAAATAACCTGTTTGGTACATTTGGAATGCAACATGGACCTTTTGTAGTACCAAAAAAGATGCACAGCATTAGAACAGATACAAAACTGGGCCCATGTAAGAAGATACCACATTGACTAAAACTCTTCAGCTTGGAAAGAGAGGCAGCTAAAATAGAACAACAGAGAGGTCTCTAAAATCACAAATAAAAAATGAGAACTAGAGAAACACGCGGTATTTCTTGCAGTACAAAATGCAGTGGCCATCTGTTAATACTGCTACACGAGTAGCACCAAAACCAGAAATGACCTTTTCCCAAAATTACAACCTTGAAGCATGGAACTTGTAGCCATGAGAGGCCAAAAGTATCGAAATACTCAAACAAAGGATTATACAGCTTTATGGAAGAGCTCTCTGACTATTAACCATAGAGGTTGAAACACAGTTTTCAGCTCAGAAAATGCATGATCTGTTGACTAGAAGAGGCAGGGAGAATACACCAGGGAAAGATCTCGCTCTACTTCTTAAACGATCCTTTCAAGCATCTGCCTTTTGTAAGTGGAGATAGTGCTACACCCACTGCAGCAGTTCTGATGATATTGCACATTTAATCTCAGCTAAGTGTTTCCTTCTGCTTTGTACAGGTGCTTAGAAAAGGACTGTAAGCACAGAGAATGGAATGCGTTTGAGAAAATGGGATTTTATGTGTACCTAGCTACTCATTCCTTTGGTACTCAAGGGTATGAAGTTTTCTGTATGTCTTACAGATGCATTAATTTTTAGAGTGAGAAGCTAAGTTATTTTTTGAGGGGAAAAATGTGTAATATTTAACAGGCTCAATGATTTCTTTTTGACTCGTGCAACTATTTTTTAGTGTTTAAGTATTGAATGTCTATAGATCTCATCTATATTGCAGTTCAATCTTAGTTTTTAAATTAGCTGGGTAAAATTTAAGGCCTATGTATTCTGTTTGTTTATGGAGTTATTTTGGATAGAGGACTTAGAGCTGCCATTAAATAAGAGTTTACATTATGAAATCATTTTAAAATGTATTTTTCAGGAGAAATCATGAGAGAAGATGTATGTAAAAGCAGGAAGCGCGAAGAATTGCTAAACAACGTTTTTTTCCCATGTAAATGCAAGTTCTTTTTTTAAATGTTCTCATCTCCCTGGATAGTTCTGTAGCTAACAGCTGGGTCTAACTGCAAGTTGCTGATGTACTGCTACTTGCCACTTTAGTCAGCGTTTTTGAAACCGTGCCTATAAATAGTACTATGTCTGGATTCAGTTATGTAGGACAAGCACTTGGTCACAGAAGTAGATTTTAATCTTCTCTTCCTTAGGGAAAGTCCTTGCATTTTGTGGTAACTTCTCGTTACAGAATATATTTTGATTTTGTAGTGTTTGCCCAGTTTAAGAAAAGAACATCAAAATGTTTGCTTTGTTGTTCTACTAATTTGGGCACTGTTCTGGTGGCGCAAACAGTTGTCTGTTTTCATAGAGCTCTTGAAAGATTTCTGGAGCCCTGCTTTTGCCTGATACATACATTTCCAGCATCATCACTTTTATAGCTATACCGTGGTCGTTTTCTGTTTTAGACTGCAACTGGATACCATAAAGATCTAGTAGGAGAAAACAATTACCACCCTTCCATGCTCACGTCTTCTACTGCCGGCAGAAAAATGTCCCAGACAAATATTTCCCAGTGTTTGACCTGGTCAATGCAGCCTCTCCAAGTCTGTTTTTCCCTTCCGTTTTAAAAACCTACCAAATCTGCCTCAGTCACCTGTACCTACAGCTTCCTGCCAGTGCCACCAGATTCCCCGTAGGATACCTAAATAGACACCCAAGGAGAACAGAGCACAGGATTTAGACCCTCTTTTGGCTATCTCACTCCTGTTGATCATTGCAGACCATTACACAGTTGCTGTTTAACTAGAGTATCCTTCATTAGATCAAACATAGTCCTTTAAGATTTTTATTATGCTTTGCTTCAAGACATTCTCTTGTGCAAGCAAATACTTGTCCTACTTGGCCTGTTTTTCAAGTGACCGCTATTTGTCCTTATTCTAGAAATCTCTTCTGGCCTAGATCTGTAAGGAACCTTCCTTCCTGCACCCATCTGTCTCTCTTTTTCATCCTTATTTCTCTAAGTCTAAGTCATCTATAGTGATGTTAACATCCCAGCTGAGGATGGGAACAGCTTACCTTATGTAGCAGAAAGGAGGGACATTGTGGTGTTTACTTCACTTTAGCTTTCCCTAACCTGGTTCATTTCAGCTACTTCTGGTCTGTTGTTTTTAAAATCTAGCATGATTTATCCCTTTTGATTTATGTTCTCCCCTCTGGCAGCCTCGGGCATTTGGTAGACAGTCTTCCCAATGTTTCTGAAACAGAAACAGTAACCATAGCAGCTAGACCAAGGTAGGTATGTATTCTTTTACTTAGATGATTTCTGTTTCGGATCTCCTAGATAATCTCTGGAAGTGTGAAGGGCTAAATAATTTTTTTGGGGGGGTGGGGGGTTAAATTTCAACAACAGCCTTTCTTTGTCCCTTTTCCAGGCTTTAATCCATCACGAGACTGACTTCATTCATTGGTTCATTCCAATACAGGTGACCTTCTAGCAAAAGACTGTATCAACAAGCTAACTGACAAGACCAGTACAGTTCAATTCATTGCCTTCCTTCCATGCCTTAGATAATTTGTGTAGACATAATACAGTGGTGCAATGTTTGTTCTGTGATCTTCTGGATATCAGTAAGTAATTATCCAGCTATGGATCTGCTATTCCTTTCTTATGAGTGTTGCTTTTCATAGGAGGACTCTACTTTTCCCACCTTCCCTGGCTCCCTGAAAAGAAGGGTGTGCTCTATGAGCACCTATGATCAGGTTCTTCAGAGAGAGAGGTATAGTACGGTCAGTTATCTAGAGTTCTCTTGCTATTCTGGTCAAGTAAGAAAGATGCTTGTTGGAGTATCTATAAGCTGGACTTCAGAGCTACATATCACGTGACTGAAAAAAACCACACTCTTTAGCAACTGCGTCATTCAGAGAGGTACTCTGAGAGCCTGTTAGTTTTTTGATCTGAAACGTACTCTTCATGTTTGCAAGGCATGATGAATGTTGTCTGGAATATAAATTCTGGTATAATTAATTTACGTTTTCAGTTTAGGTAGCTTATGAAACTTCTTCAGTTAAGATAAAACCTCAGTATTCTTTTATTATCTTTCACAGTGTTCATATTTTGTTACTAGGAGGTCTGGGAATTGTGAGAGAAGAAGTATGGCCTTTTAGTCTCCCATATCTAGTTACGGTTTCTTTGCTGATGAGTCAGACTGGCTTCTTTCTCTGTCCTATACCAAGTTGGAAACTTAACTGCTCTCATCAGTCTTATCTTGCTATTTTTGACTTCTCCTGAGTCTAGTTTGCAAAGGTTGAGTGAATGATCCCTTAGTCCTCCCAAAAGAGTATTTCTTTCCAAGTAGTGATACTTGACTGAGCTAACATCAGATTTGTATATTTGACTAACAAAACAGTAGGTTTTCTTTTTTCTTTCAGTCCCAAGCTATAGTGCTAGTATTGTCGTTCTTTTTGATTTTTAGCCTAGGTTGAGAGTTGATGCCAGAACTTATATTCTGTTTGGGAAGTAGTATTTCATTTGCCTTTCAAGTAACTATGAGACTTTAGGTTTGCTGCTGGTGGTGCCATTTTAAAAATAGCACCAACATATCTGTTAGATCACACAGTATGTATTCCGTTAATTTAGGTTGACAAACTCATCTCAGACCACTGTAGCTGTGTTGCTGAACATAATTTAATATTGGAGTATGGCTGTCTTCTTGTATCAGCATTAAATAAACCAATGTTATGTAGAGTTTAAAGAAACTGGTCAGCAAAGTGAAGAGGTTCAGTAGAGAATATATTATTACCACTGAATCAATTTATATATAATACGTTGCTTGTAAAGCTTTCATCCAAAATACGTTCAACCATAATGAAAATCATTGTTCACAAATTTACCTGTGGTAGTGGTCTTGCATATGACAGTAGGGTGACCACAGTACATGCACTGTTGCAATTCATGTATTTTATTTCCCCGCTGATAGGTCCTTCGATGTTTTAGGAGCTATACTCTGTAACGTACAGACATTAAGTTAGATTCCAGGCACGGTAATCTGTGCAAAGGAACAGATACAGTAGAGCAGCTCAGCAATCAATGTGGTAATCATTATGGTCAGTGGGAACAACCTACACAAAAATTGTAGATCGTTGTTCTAATTAATATTTGCTTATTGAAGCAGTATTAAATTTGTGGATTTTTTCTCTGTCTATGGTATCTGGTATGATATCATTTTAAAGAGTCATGGCATGTGGTGGTATCAGCTCTTGCTATCTGAGCTGGCCAAATGAGTGAAGTCCTATTAGTACAGAGCAGGTACATGGAATAATCTAGTTTTTTAGGGGATCTAGTGATTATGGGAGTAGCTTAAGGTATCAGGTTTTTATTGCGTGCCTTGCTACAAACTTTTGATGTGTTATGTGGTCTGGGTGGCTCATTTCCCCTCGCTAATATGAGCCTAATAATGCTTCCTAATTTTACACGATGTGAAAAAGAGAAATTGAAGTAAGTAACGTGATCAATTCAAATGCGAGAGTATGAGGACAATGCAGGCACTTAGAATAAATGGTTCTTTCCTAAGAACAAGCGTTTCCTTGAGATGCCAAAGACAGAGGACAACATCAGTTTTCCATCACTTATTTTGTAAATACTTCTTTCCCT